CACCATGAACACACAGACATGGTGCTCACAGCCCTCAAGGACCCCTCAGCATCACCAGCCCCCCAACCTCCATGTGACCACAGGGTCCTCCTCTCCTGCAGGGTCCCCAGGAGCTTTGTCACCTGCTGGTAGGAGGAGGAGAAGGTGACCAAAGCATTCCTGGTTCCTCCTCCACTATGGGCACAGCTTGGTGCTGTTGGGCTGGTGGGTGCATGGGTTGGTGGGCAAATGGGTCACCTCACCAGTTTTCCCTCTGTCCTGAACCCAGGATGAGTGGTGTTTGCCATGTTTTTGCAACAGCTGGAAGTGTCCAAGGCCAGGTTAGATGGGACTTGGAGCACCCTGGGATAGTGGAAGGTGTCCCTACCCATGGCAGGGGGTAGAACCGGATGAACTTTAAGGCCCCTTCCAATACCTGCACTTGTGCTTTTATGATTCTGTGATCTCTTACACCAGTAAATCACTCTTCCCCTTGGAGAACTTCAACCACCACATTCCCTGTCCATGTTGAAGGCCACATTGCTTTGGATCAGCCCTGGGCCACCAGCTTGGCTGCCTTTGTTATGTCAAAACGGAAAGGAAGAATTTGTGGAGCTTTAGCTGCAACTTTCCCCTTTGTATGAGAGCTGCTGGTGGAATGTTCTCCTTGGTCAACAGCTCTGCTCCAGCAAAGCAGCACCAGCCCCACCCTGAACTCTTCCCCTACACCAGAGCATCCCTAGGACCACCAGGAAGGTCCCATCAGCTCTGTAGGTGCCTTGGGCTGGGGTGGCAGCTGGGGCTGCTGCTGTCCCCCAGCCTCCTGGAGCAGGGTGTGTGCCCTGGGGGGTCCTGGCTCCTCCGCTGCTCCTTCAATCCCTTCAGGAGGGGCTGTGGGGGGAGCAGGGTGGGATGGACAGGTCTGGGCTCGATGTAACTCTCAGTGCCAAACAGGGTCAGGGGAGGGACAACGTACCTTGAGTCACCTCTAGTATCAGCAACACCCAAATCAGAAGTCATGTGCATTTTCCCTCATCCAAAGCAGAGTGCTTTAATGCCTTTTGGGTTTTTTTAAATCTAGAAATATGGTTTCTGAAGCATTTTGTGTTTCTGTCAAGACATCTCTTGCATGTCATTGGTCAGGTTGTTTCTGTCAAGACACCCCTGTCACCATCTAGGTCCCCCCATGGCACCCAGCTCCAAAAACAGCCCCTTCAGCTGGTGCTCCCAGGAGCTGGTTGGACTCACAGCACCCTAAAACACAATCAAGTCTTAACCCGATCCCTGTCAAAGTTCTGGCAGCTCCTGAGCTTCTTCCAGCCTCATCCTCAGCTGGATTCTCTCCACAGCTTCTTTTAGGACGTGCTTGATAAGACTGTGCCTCATGTGGGGGCTTGTCTGTGTTTCCATATCTTGCCCAGTTTATCAGCCACAGAGGGTGGGAGGTGTGGCCAGGCTGGGAATTAACCATCCCATCCAAACCCTCTGGAAATCAGAAGCAGAATTTCCCCCCCTTTTTTTCCACTGTGGCTTTAAACCAAGAGGTACCAATGCTTCTCCAGCGTTGGAGAAGCTGTAGGAGGGAAGATGCTGAGCCCTGCCTGGCTTCCACTGGAGGAATGGCCACCTCTGCCCATCACATCCAGCAAAGTCCAGGAGAAACTTCAACACCACAGATTGCCCAAAATAAACCCTTCTTTCCCTGGAGTTGATCCAAGGACTTGGATCTAGGGCGCGTTTGGGGCTAGGCTTCACCTGAGCTCCATTTCTTTCCCAACTTGTGCTTTTCTGCCATCACTTCCCTCCATCCTCGCCCCAGCCCAGGTGAATGGAGATCACTGGGGATAAAACTGAGGGGAAAACTGTGCCCCCCCTGTGCGGGGGTGTTTTGGTGTGGATGATGCTGGGATGGGAGCTGGCACAGAGGAGGTTTTCTGCTGCCCCCAGATTTTGCCGAGGTTTCCTTCCAGCGCTGGAGCTGGCCCAGCCCTCCCGGCTTCCCGGGGCTTCGCTGGGAAGCGCTGGGAAGACAAAACCCCGCTCTGGAAGTGAGGCTATTGTTCTTACTAATTTTAACTGGATGTTCTTCCCCAAGCCTATTTTTATTCATTGCTTGTGGTAAGCTCTTTCTCTAAGGTAGAGCAATTTGCCACAGGACTCTTTTT